TACAGTTGTCTTACAATACTGAGTGTGATGATCTGGAAAGCAGGAAGAGAGAGAGAGAGACAAGGTTATGTTACAGCACTTTACAAAGAAAAAAGCTGTAAACAGACTGATGACTGTACAAATTCAGTTAATTATGAAGCTAATGAAAAATTAAAAGGGAGTTCTAATGAAAAATTTGATCAAATATTATTCAGATTATCTTTTCAAGTAATTAAGTGGTATGGAACAAAAAATGTTCCCTAAGGTACATTTTAGCTTGTGATCTTTTCCATTCTGAGAAAAAAAAATGCAATAAAGTTAGGAATGAGTAAAAGTCAATTTTCTTTTTGACAAGCCACTGTCTATAAGTATGCTAAGATGTGATTTCATTAAATCAGCATCACTTTTCTTTTAATTTTCAGTGACATTTCCTTTGGTTACTGGTTATTTCAATAAATAATTAGCTTTAAATGCATATCAAAACAGTATTTAGTATCCAATATTTTGTGTAACATATGTTTGCAGAAAATAAAGCACCATTCATCTTTTAAGCCCAATAGACTAACTTAGTAACTGCATTAGTTTTCTAACAGAAACAGAAATAGAAACTTCAAAGTGCCATTGAATCCTCTAATTTGGAAAACAAACAAAAATAATAATAAACATTATGAGTGCAGTTGGTGGTTTGTTTTTGTTGTTGTTGTTGTTGTTTTTTCCCTTTACCATTACATATTTTGGACATTGAAAAGAACCTGTATAAAGATGTTCATCCTTGTGATGTTCTGGAAAGATGTCAATATTTTCAGAGCACAGAAGAGCTAGAACAAAACAGAATTCAGTATTTAATGCTCATCTGAACAAATCCATGTATTGATCACTTTTCCTGTGTATTTCCAAAATGTTAACAAGCAGAGAAAAGTATCATGAAAAGTATCATGCTGAGTATCCTGAAAGTATCATGCTGTGCAACCTAAATACAGAATAAGTTCCATTTCCAGTTCTGCCCCAGTCTGCACAGAATAAAAAGTGAAGTACCTTTTTTTATTAACTATTACGTCAATTGAGTCCTGTATGTTAATGCAAGCAATGCAACTATAGGAACTGCATGTGTGTGTACAGAGCTTTCTTTATTCTAAATTTAAACCATATCTTTTTATTCTTTTGGAAACTACCTCTGGCCTCCCCCTCTTTGTCTTTCCAAGTTCTTCCAGATTACTGCCTTAGAAGGAAAGCAGCACAGTGAATCACAGCCTATCCAAGTCTGAAAGCACATTCACTCACTTCTACGCAGGATGAGGGAAGCACATAAGATTTCTCACAATTTCACTGGGATTCCAGCAGCTATTCCTCTCCAAATGGACAATATGGGCATGAACCCTGTGGCCTGGCACTGCACTTACCAAGGCACAAGAATAAGTGCTCAAATTAAAGTTGCTACATCAGCTGCAGTGTTTGGGGCGAAGAATGAAAATCTTTTGTGTCCTCTGTCGTAATAAACACATCATTAGCAATTCAAGACATAGACACAACAACAAAAATTTAGTTACCAGGCTTGGCAAGACAAATCGTAATTGCAAAACACTTTAATGCAATTATTATTACCGGGGAATTTAAAAATATATTAAAATGTCACTAGAGTGCATTCATCCCATTATATGGGCATAGTGAGACAATCAAACTGAAAAACCACTAAAAGCTTGAAGGACTTAATTTTGTCTGCATCCATGTTTGCAACATTGACCACACTGTGAGATTATTCAGGCAGGTGGAGAGGAGGTTCCTATAGCTAATGCAGAGCAGTCACAACTGCAATTGTAAAGATGCCAGAAAAGCACCCTTTAGCAGTAACACTCGTTTGGTGCATGTCACACGCTCTGCTCTGTGCTGGTTGGGCATGTCACTGCTATGCAGTGTACCCAGGCTGCAGCACTATGTTCCTGCCATCCCGCAGGCAGTTCCTTTCTGAATGCTACCACCCTCTGCATTGTGCTTCACTTCCTGATGAGGACAGTCACTTCTTCTAGTAGAGTTCTGTCAGGGCATTTGATTTGGGGTTTCTGCTGTTCTGTTCCAAGAGAAGAGGAGCAGAGCAGGAGGAGGCCTCGCCACACCTGGTGCCTCCGTGTGGCACTGGGCAGACTTTGGGAAAGTTTTAATGGAGGATACATTCTACACTTAACACTAAACTGATTTCCACTCATCCCAATAAAACTGCTTTCCAAATAGAGGGGAAAGCTATTTTATTCTAAGAAGGAATGCTGTTATCTTTACAATCTGAAGCAACACACTAAATCCTACAATTAGTAATGAGGCCTCAATGGCCTCGTGACAAATATACATGCAGGAAGGACAGACTACACAAAGCACCAGGCAGTCCTGTGGTGGGACACCTGCAGCCTCAGCCAGGTGCACAGAACATGGCAATAATTTTCGGAAGTAGAGCACAAAGCTCACGTCACCATCAAGGTCTGATGTTGCTTCTGCAACTGTGTGCATAGCACACTTTATACCACTGCTCATT